TTGTGCATGATTCCTGCACCCCCATCCTGTGCTCTGAGCCCCCCCACCCACACCCCCACACACATCCTATACAGTCGTTTAAATAAAGCACGTACATTTTCCTTTTAATTAAGAAAAAAATTCTACCGTTAAGGACCCAAGCAACACCGGGTACATCTGCTAGTAACAATACAGCAAGAGAGGACTTTACAGGGAGCTGGAAATGCATGATTCCTGCACCCCCATCCTGTGCTCTGAGCCCCCCCACCCACACCCCCACACACATCCTATACAGTCGTTTAAATAAAGCACGTACATTTTCCTTTTAATTAAGAAAAAAATTCTACCGTTAAGGACCCAAGCAACACCGGGTACATCTGCTAGTAACAATACAGCAAGAGAGGACTTTACAGGGAGCTGGAAATAGGATCAGGGAAGAGAGCTGGTTACGGGTAAGCTATTAATTTGCTGATATTTAGAATTTATTGGGTTTTTTTTTTTTCCACACTTCACGCTTCCCGACCCAGTTCTCTCCCTAGCTGCTGGCTGCATATGACCGTGAGCGTATACCAAAAAGTGTCTCCTTACGGAAATCGTCATCCAAAGAGCCAGGTCCTCTCCTGGCTCTCTGGCCTGGAGTCCTGTGGCGGTCTCATCTGGCTCTTGGTAGCCAGCGCCCATTGGCTCTTTGCCGCTCTGGATGCTTGTCTCTGCAGGGCTGGGACTGCCTGACTCACATACGCAAAGATGTCCTCTGTCAGGACACAGAGTCCCTCCGAGACTCCCTGATCTATTGTGCTGCTCTCTGAGCTCCCAATCTCCAAACTAGCCTCCGTCTCCGGGTCAGGCCATCCTCTGCCACTGAGCGGCTGGGCAGCCTGGTTCATCGTTGGCCCAGAAAACTCTCAGCCATCTCCCCCGCCACCCACCCCGATACGGAAACCTCTAAGTTCTCCTCAGTGATTTGCTTCGGCGTGTCCAATTTATCCTGCGCCCACCACTGACTCTGTGCATGCTGGGAAATGGAGTCTGAGGGCTCTGGTAGCCAGCATTGCTGTATGCCCTTGGGTTGGACCTCTTTGAGGCTCAGTGTTCAGTTCCAGGAATTCAGGGAGGAGTGTTGCCAATTCTTCTCTAGTTCTTCTAACGTGCACAAGGGCTATAGTTGAAATTTACACTATGGGCTAATTATTATCATGGTATTTTGGCAAATGTTTGATGGGGGTTAAGGCTGGGGGTCTCTGAGAAAAAAAGTTGAAGTGCTTCGTAATGAAAACCCATTGAAAATATAACACTTATGTCTTCCGAAAAGTAGCTTGTAGTTTATGGTGAGGTCAGCCAGTTGCATATCTTCTTTCACTTTTGTGGCCTGTCTGCTGCCAGATGAGTGACAGTTTGGCTTTCAAGCAGCTTGTTCAGGAATGTTTAAGAGGACGAACATCTGCATATGCTGTGAAGAACCTGCAAAAGAGATGAAAATCCTGGCCCTGTTGGAGTCACTGGGAATTTTGTGATGTACTTCGGTACAACCAGCACACAGAATGTTAGGAATTGCTGAAAAAGGGATAGAGATTTAAATAATCCCCGCTTCATTAAAATAAAAATGGCCGCCATGCTGTTCTGACAATCAGCTGATCCAGCACAGCGCGGCAGTCTAGACGTGGTGCGGTCGACAAGGGAAGCTCCTGTAAACTTCATTGACTATGTCAGGTAAATTACTTTACATGGCTCCGTCGACAGAGCTATGGAGTCTAGACACACCCTAAGGGTACGTCTAGACTACATGCCTCTGTCGCCAGAGGCATGTAGATTAGGCTGCCAGACATAGTAAAATGAAGCGGCGATTATTTAAATCGCCGAATCGCCGCTTCATTTTACTATGTCTGGCAGCCTAATCTACATGTCTCTGGCGACAGAGGCATGTAGTCTAGACGTACCCTAAGACAGACTACCGTATGGCATCTGTATACATCCATGCTACGCCCACAACTTGAATACTGCATACAGATGTGGTTGCCCCATCTCAAAAAAGATATCTTAGCACTGGAAAAAGTTCAGAGAAGGGCAACAAAAATGATTAGGGATTTGAAATGCCTGCCATGTGAAGAGAAATTTAAAAAACGGGAACTTTTCAGCTTAGACAAGAGGTGACTAAGTGGGGGGATATGACAGAGGTCTGTGAAATCGTGATTGGTGCAGAGAAAGTGAATAAGGAAAAGTTATTTACTTGTTGCCATAACATAAGAATTAGGTGTCACCAAATGAAATTGATAGGTAGCAGGTTTAAAACAAACAAAAGGAAGTACTTTTTCACGCAACACACAGTCAACCTGTGGAACTCCTTGCCAGAGGATGTTGTGAAGGCCAGAACTTTAACAGGGTTCAAAAACAAGCTAGATAAATTTATGGAAGTCAGGTCCATCAATGGCTATTAGCCAGGATGGGTAGGAATGGTGTCCCTAGCTTCTGTCAGAAGCTGGGAATGCGTGATAGGGGAGGGGTCACTTGATCATTACCTGTTCTGTTCACTCATTTTGGGGCACCAGGCATTCACCACTGTCAAAAGACAGGATACTGGGCTAGATGGACCTTTGGTCTGACCCAGTGTGACTGTTCTTTTTTTCAGGTTTTCATCCCAAGTCTTTGCCCTTTGTACAGGGAAAGGATTCAGCTGACATTTATGGGATTGCACTGGTACAAAGAAAAGGAGAATTTCATCAATGTATGCAAAAGCAAGCAGTCATCTGACCTGCTTAATTGCCTCAACCTTCAGCCAGGCACATCACTCATGTACATGATGAGCTGTGATTGGACCAGGACTCAGGAGATAAGGCTTCCTTTGCTATCCCTGACAAAGACTGTGCATGTGTGCCCTAGGCAAGTCACTTAATCTTTTCATACCTCAAGTTCTACCGTCTGTTAACCGCCCAATAACACTGCCCAACCTTGCAAGAATTAAATGCACAGAGTCTGTGTGACATGCTCAGATAACTTTGTGATGGCGCCATATAAATACTGTATCTACATTCCCCTCTTTTCCCATCAGTTCAGATGTTGCTACTTATAAGGGAGTGTCCCAGTTATTATGGAGGAGATTCTTCAACTCCATTCTAAAGTAGGGATGCTTCTCTCAATGGAAAATATTTAATCATCTCTGATTGTTCAATAGCAGTGGCCGGGGTCGTTAATATTTCTTTCCTGTTAGAAAGTCAACCCTCATCTCAGCTCAGGTGGGACAAAAATCCACTTGTCTTTTTACCTTGCAGTTCATGTCCTCTCAGTGTCCCATTCCTATGACAACAACTCAGTAATATTTCTCCCCTATATATGCACGATGCCTGTTTATTGAGAGAGAACTTAAATGAACATTCAGTGATCCCAATACTAGGAGTCTAAAGGACAGATTTCCAGTGTGTTGCTTCCAATGGAGTCCAAGGCATTCAGCTCCTTACAAGGCCTGAATCTGAATTTGTGTAACCTCAGTTGGTTTGTTCCCTCATTTGCAGCCCTACAAGCTCAAGTTGTTCTTTGTGGCGTACATAGGCAACTGGCGCCTGCAAGGGGAAGGGGTACGGGAGGGCTACCCACAGGGGCAGGGAGGGGTACAGAGGCACCCCGTTTAGCAATTAGAATTTTGGTGGGATCACAAGTGTTACGAGTCACCTATGGTGATGTATATTATGTGGAAAAATTCCCCATATGGAAAATCCCATCTTGGCATTTAGCAGTGACTATTTGGAAATGAAGTATCCT